TATACCAACATGGGTCGACGCCCGCCCGTGTGGCGCAGTTCAGTTGAAACTGGACTGTGGTGCTAAGCGTCCCTGGTTCGAATCCGGGTTCGCGCATGGATATTTATAAATGTATAGTGGGTTGGGTTGGTAGAGCAGCCTTGGATGAAACCCCGCCCACTCAAAAATAAAGGCAAATAAATTTTAATTGGGTAGTATATGCCAAACAACTAACGCCTGTTCGACTGATGAACTTGACTCCTGACCAAGTTAAAAAAGTGCACTGGGATTGGGACGTGTGCCCCAGTAGGTGCTGTCGCGCGTTGTGTGAATACAGCTAACGAGTTATGACACTTCGAAGTTTCCCGAAACCTTTCAAACTATGACCACAGCCGTATACAAGAATTTTACAAGTCGAAAGGTTGATTTACAGATTAACTACAAATTTGTGCTGCTACCAAGACGTGTTTGCCTCAGAGAAACGACTTTTCAGTCTAAGCAATATGGTACCAAATAAAATAAGTACGGGAGAGGCCCAACTTATTAAGCAACATCCAAGAAGGCTACCATGGGTTAAACTCGACGAAGTTGAGGAGATCACCAGCGACATAATTGAAACATCCAGCAGTCCGTGGATCTCACCTGTAGCTCTCGTGAAGTAGAAAGATAGCAGCACGAGGTTTTGCGTAGATTATAGGCAACTGAACAACGTAACAAAGAATAGTTATTTATTATACAAGACGATAAACGGATATTACAACCATTGGGTGAAAGATGTTCACGAGATAGTTAGTTTCAATTTATCGTCGTGTATAATACAAAAATGTATTTTATAGCAGAAGCCATTGTAAAGTTCCTGACAATTCTGAATTTAATTTAGAGACGTCAAAATAGCAAGCATAGGTTCTGCAATCGCCACTGAACTATACTTATATTTATATTATTATTATTAATTATAGTTCAGTGACCATCGCGATCGGTTCTATAGAAAGAAATGAAAATGACAGATGTCATTAGAATGCACACTCATCTGTTTCACTTTATCTATCCTTACGGTTAAAGAACGACTTATTTTAACATAAATGCTATAAAATAAAGATAGTTATCCGTTGCCCCGTATAGATGACACCTATAATAGGTACGCTAAAGGGCGTTAAATTTAAGAGTCCAGTGAAGGTCTAGTTACTAGATGGTTGGAAAGACTGCAAGAGTACGAGTATGATGTAACAGAACACTGTTCGGGACGAAACGCTCATAATACCGATGCCTTATCCAGAAGACCATGTTCTGAGGATTGTCGAGACTTCTCACAATTCGACCACAAATATGAAGAACAACACGACGCACTGCACTTATGGATAAGAATTGGGCACCCCGAGAACTGCGCAGAGTTGAGGACAGTGGCAGTGATTTACATCGGATTATAAAATGGAAAATAGAAGCGAAAATGACGATGGAACTACCACAAATGTAGGTACAGCTAGTGATACCAGAGAGCAGAAAATTAGAAGTCCTACGACAGATACATGATGGTACATCGGGAGGACAGCTAGAAGTGATTAAAACCCTGGTGAAGTTGCGGGAATGATTCTACTGGGTTAATTGCAAACAACATGTGAAATAATGGTGCAGAAAATGTGCAGGGTGTGCCACAAGCAATGGGCCAGTAGGAAAGCAACAATGAGGAAATACAATGTGGGTAGTCCATTTGACAGAATATGCATTAATATCGCAGGCCCCTTCCCATAGACAGCTGCCAGAAACAAATCCATCTTGGTGGTCATGGACTATTTTAGTAAATAGACAGAAGCAGAAGATTTGTGAGAAGCCCTGGAACTACACTCTGATCAGAGACAAGTCGGAGCTATTCGAACATTCGCAAGACCAGAACCACTGCTTTGCACCCGCAGTCAGACGGAATGGTTCAACGCATGAATAGAACAATGGGGAAGTACCTGTCAAAGGTTGTGTCCCCTCACCAGCGTGCTTGGGATGGCGAACCGTTCTGTAGGAAACTACAGGACTTCCGTGTTGTTTGGCATCCGGTTACTCCGGTTACTGTGTGATTTAACATTTGGTACAAGACCTGATCAGGAAAGAACTGTGGGGAACGAGTACGTGGGAAATCGGCGTCAGAAACTGGGTGCCATCCATGACAAAGTTCGCTATAGTACGCAGTTAGCTATCGATAGTTGAGAATAGTTGTCGAGATCCAGTCGAAAATTCCCCTAGGGTAAAAGCGTTTTTTGGTAGTTGTAGCTTCTTTCTTTACCAGAAATAGAAAAACTGTTGACTATTATTATCAGATTAAATAGATTCCAGTTCACTCATTCAGCGATCGCAGCTTTTTACAGAGTCAAATATCTCGGTAGACAAGCTCGTACTTGCGATGTAGGTCAAAGTTGATAAATTTGAACGGTCTTATTATTTATGCCGTTATTTTTATTCTTTGAATACCACAACTGTTTGTATTAATTGATTAATACCGAACTCGCTCTAACTTACTTTGAATAAATTATTCTTATCTCTTATACACACAACAGCATTTAGTTTTACCGTTGCCGAATGTGACATGAATATGTTCAAGTACGACGTGGATTCACCTCGAATGATTAGCGTTCAAACCGCAATAAACGCAGTTATTTCAATCCGTAAGCCTATGTAGACATGTAAACTCTTTAAAGATAATATCCACGGTCGTGAAGGGGTATGCGAATGAACATTTTTTACTGTAAGATAATAAGTTTCAAAGTTATTACGTGCGTGCCTTCCCATATTGCCAATCCGTATTCTAATTTTGAATTTGCTGAAGCGTAAATATAGTTTTAAAAGTTTCATAAAGCGATTTTAGTAGTATTGAATCTAGAATCAAACCCAAGTATTTTGTTTCATCTGTTTATTTTATACTTGGACATAAATAATTTCTAGCATTAAAAAAAAGTTATGTAACTGATCAAAAATATGTATTATGTGAAAAACTGGAAATCATATACCAGGTGTGGCAATTAAGTTCCTGGAATTTGTCAATAAAAAACAAGAAAAATATGTTTCAGGCAGTTTATTATTAACTTTTATAATAGTCTCCTATTCAGACGTACTTATCAAAAACACAAAATCACTCGCTGACAGCTTCAGGAAATTTCACTTCTTTTTTTATTGAACTGGGCTCAATTACTCGAACTGGCTTGATAAATAAGATGAAAAGGCACAAAGATTAACTAGGGCGTACTGCAACTCAGACCCACAGACACTTTATAATTGTTCCGTGCTTCACAAAAAATTGCACGGCCGATTTATATGCTCCACACTCGTTTTTGCGGCGACCTCTCTTAAAATCGCGCGATCGAAATTGGGCAATCGTAAAATTTAACGGAAAACTCGTACGGTATTGTGATCGAAGTTAAGCGGTAACCCCTTCTTTTCTCACTTTAATTTTCTATGTGTAGTTTCCCACTAAAAAAACGAAACGGAACCAAAGCCAATGCCACGACAGCTTACCCTGTAAGCCAATAGAAAGCCTGCATTTTTTTTATCTTGACTGCTTTAGACGGAACCAGCGCAAAAACCGAATTTTCCTATACTTAAATACAATACGAAAATTTAACGCTGCAAAGAGCATTACAGCGTTTACACTTTTTTTCGACGCTATTGATTCCCTAAATCAAGATTTTTTTGGTATATATTTATATAGAAACAGATTATTTTTCATTTGCTTTCTTAAATATTTTCATGGAAAGATTTGACCGATTCTCCGAGCCTAGTTCTTTTATCTGTCCTTTATTTTCCTCCAGCATTTTTTGCAATTCTTTACAGATATCTTCAATGTTTCATAGTTCTCCATCGAGATATCAACACACACACACATTTTTTGCTCATTTTTTTACGAAAATGTACTATTATTTAAACACTGTTTTGGGAATAAGTAAATATTCACGGTTATCGTACATCTCTATGTCCTTAAAGCTTAACGTCCGAACGCTTCTTTTAAGGATCGGCTATGGGTAGATGAAGGGTCGTTAACGTATGGACGGTTCCCTACAAGGTTCTGGAATGGTGCGAAATTGGAATGGTAACGAAAGAACAAGGTATTCCAACGAAAATTTGTACTCGCTTAAAACTCAACAAAACAGATTTTTTTTGTCAAAAATCCAATAGCCGGTCAATTTGTGTATCAAAGGGGCACACAAATAATTGTTGAACCTTTAAACGGGATGGGGGGTCAAATGACTTTGGAAAGGGTTTTCATTACTTACACGTTTTTATTTTTACCACCCGCACGTTAGTAAAGGAGGTATTGCATTGGGGTAAAAAATGCCCCCCCGCCCACTTTTTTGACTGAAATACACGTTTTGAAACACCAGGAATCCAAATCTCGATGGTCTCGGTCTGTTGTTCTGTCTGTACCCTCATTTCCGGCTCAGCTGAACCGATTAGAACCAAATTTGGTACACTTATTCTTAGATATAAAAGGAGGAGTTGAAAAGCTTTGTCGCAGAACACGCATGCGCAAGTGTGCGGTTGGTATCAGCATTTTTTTAAATCCAGCGATTAATTACTAACTTCCATATAATAATACAATTTGATTCAGACCTAGATCTTATATCTCAAGGTCTTAGGAGTTATTTTACCAATTTTTGGCGATAATTCTTTATCGTAGTTTTACAAATTTTCGCTGGAAAACCTTGTATAGGAACACCTCACAGTTGTGTCAAATCAGTTAGCGTTAATTACACCAAATTAGAGCTTTCCATTTTGTTACATACGAGTATTATAAGACGGTATTGTGACTTTGAACGATTTTCTGCAACAAACGCAAAAAAGCTGCTCATTAGTCAAACAACTAACTGACTTACTCAACAAGAACCATAGCATCAAATTTAAAATAGCGTCGATTAAATTGCCATTTATCTCAATTCGATGATTCCGAATTAAGTATAAACCCCAATCAGCACCGGATTCTGGTTTGGTTGATAGTATTAGAAATCACCAAGTTCTAATTGTGGTTCACTTTCAGTCCTCGTGTTCCATGGAAATGTTCAAAAAAGTGGAAATATCGGGGAGGGTTTGCCAGGTCTTCGCCGTCATTACAGGTAGAATTGTTGTAGAAGGGTTTGCAGGTTTCTAACAACCTTTTCTTAAGGCACGCTGACGGTTATAGCGGATGGAATGCATTATGGCTGGACTTCGCCAATTATACCGTTGTTGGAGGCATCGCCAAATTCATTTGTACATGAGTCGGACGTGGTATGGATCGAAAATTGCCTAATGTTTGGAGGAGTGGCAGGTTTGTTCATAACAATGTGCCTCTTGGATAAGATAGGGCGGAAGGCAACGATGTTAACAGCGGCCGTAGAAAACATGATCGCATGGATTTTAATTGCGACTTCGTCATCAGCAGAAGTGCTTTTCGTGGCACGTTTCATCGCAGGAATTGCTGCAGACGTCAATTTTGTGGCCGCCCCAGTTTACATCGCCGAAATTGCCGATAAGAAAATACGCGGCCGATTGAGTTCACTCATTAACATCTTCGGTCTGCTAGGACTTGTGCTGATTTATGCCGTCGGACCGTACGTGTCAGTGGGGATATCAAGCGTAATTGGAATGGGCTTCCTAGCCGTTGAGATCATTACCTTCTCCACAATGCCAGAAAGTCCTCACTACTATCTAATGCGAAATAATCCCGAAGCCGCTCGTAGGTCTTTAAAGGTATTTCGGAACGTCAATGTGGATGGAGAGTTGAAAATGCTAAAGGAAATTGTAGAAAAGGAAAACGAAAACAGAGGTCGTCCCCTTGATTTACTGAGGGTTAAGAGTAATAGAAAGGCTTTTGGTATAATGGCAGTTCTAAATATTTCGCAACATTTCACTGGACTAAGCGTTATGCTCATGAATATGCACATAATTCTAGGAGAGGCAGGTTTGAGCGTGGACGCAAACATGACTGCGATCGAATTTGGGCTGGTTATGGTGGCGGCTTCAATCGTATCGACGTTTCTAATCGATTTAGTCGGAAGAAAAGTGCTTCTATCCATTTCCAGTTTTTGTACAGCAGCCTCTCTGCTTGTCCTGGGCGCCTACTTCTCTGTTAAACACAAAGGGGGTGACACAAGTGAATACTCCTGGGTTCCGGTAGCGTGCCTGATGATATACGCAGTTACCCATAAGATTGGTCTTAGTTTTGTGCCAATTGTGGTCACTGCCGAATTATTTCCTACGAACATTAAGGCTGTTGGTTGTACGGTGGCCGATTCAATATTCGTGATTTCGAGTGCCATTACAATTTTCGTCTTTCACGCTCTGTATCGCAATTTTGGTATGCACGTGCCATTTTTCATGTTCGCCGGCTTTGCGGTCCTAGTCGGTTTATTTGCGATATTCCTCATGCCGGAAACCAAGGGGAAAACGCTGGAGGAGATTCAGGAAATACTCAGAGGTGAAGAGAATGAGCACGTTTTCCGCGTTGAAACGACGCTCTTATTGTCCGCAAGTGAGGAGGCCTGTGACGAGTAGTGTTAAGCGTTCGGGATGCAGGCGGATTAATAAAGTGTTAATGTGCTCCATCTTGTGATATAAATGCAGATAAAGATTTCTAGCGTCCAACTGCCGAGCAGCGTTGTAGAAGAAATGCAGAGCTACACCTTTTATTGGTTTTTGTTCATACACCGATCTACCAAATTATTATTCTTTATTTACGTATGCATCTCATTTACACTCTTAACTCGTCTAATAGATGAGGATAAAACAAAGCAAACTAAAACACATGGCGATCGACGTGCCTTATTTCCTTCATAACGTCCTTGATACGTTACTGACCGTACTCGATATTAAGTTTTCCGAAAGTAGGAAATCTATACGATTACCTACTTCGGTAGGATTGTGGTACGCGATAAACGTATAACCGATAGCCACGATCTGAATTTTGTTTCACTTCCAGTCGAAGCGTAAGTAAGAACCCAGAAACAATACAACATAAACCGGTTTTATGGATCAGTGGTAGAGCGTTGGACTATAAATCCGGAGGTCGGGTGTTCGAACCTGGGTTGAGGTGATTTTTTCATCTGTGACAGAGATGGAAATTACCTTAGGCCAGTTTCGAGCATTCCGCCGGCTACTCCGAATTAGGTTTTCCTGCAGTTTTCCTAATTCGTAAGGTAAATACCGGAGTAGTATAGAACAACTTAAGACCTTCTGCAAAGGCACCTCTAAAAAGCATTATGCGGGTCACTCTGTAATTGGGTGCAAGCCTGTTGAGAGCCCAGAACAAGAGAGGGATAATCAATAAATTAAATAAATAAATAAAATAAACAAATCAAAACAAGCGGTACTCGTCCGATTAAAAAAATACCACTGGTTGCAGTAATATTATAAGTATTCACAGTTACAATTTCTAAGAACCACTTTCACAAGTAACAAAGCTGAAATGTGCAAACAATTTATTTGCGCCCCTTTCTAAAGTGATCCAAAGCTACCTCGAATTCTACGGTGTATAATAATACTTCAATAGTAAGCGTGGCTGCTAACAGTTTGCCATTAGTGAACAATATCCAATTAATTCTACCCCAGGTGAAAGCGTACACATTTATTTATGGAAATTGATCTTGTCGACTACAATTATATTACGAAATAATTTTGAAAAAAGGATATAATGGTGCACTTGCCATAACTCAAAAGTGTATCACAAATAAGAGGTACGACGGGAGTGGGATGTATAATCAGAAACAAACGCATCAGTAATAGCATAAATTATACTATAGTAATGGTTATTTATTATACAAGACGATAAAGGGGCATTTTAACCATTGAGTGAAAGAAAGAAACCAACTTTCACGAGATGGTTAGTTTCCTTTTATCGTCGTGTATAATACAAAACTTTATTTTATACCAGAAGTGAAGCCATACAAATGATTGTAAAGCTTCTGACAATGAATTTAATTTAGAGACGTCAAAAATAGCAAGCTTCGGTTCTGACGTCGCGATGGTTTCCATAGAAACAGAATTGTCATATGTCCTGAACGTCATTTTATATAGTGCATTTGAAATAAGATTGACAAATGTCATCAGAATGCACAGTCATTTGTTTCACTTTATCTACCCCACAGCCGTCTATAATTAAGTCATGCTGAGAAGTTTGGTAACGTTGTCCGAAAATCAATCGGAAGGTCGATTTAATGGTCTCTTGTTGCTCTTGAAAAATGGCATTTTTCTTTTTTTCTGTGTTTCGCCTTGGTGGTTTTAATACCGAAGAAAGATACTTGGGCAACTTACAATTGTCAATGAACAACTGTCATGAAAATTACAAACATTATTTCAAACGGAATACATTTGCTATAAACAAACATTAAAATCACACAATTTTATCCTAATAAACAATACGTATAATGATTAATTCTAAATAAACAAATTTCGATTAATAAACAAACGTTATTTAAATGTGGACGAAAATACACGCAATTCTAGTTTATTATAAATTCACTAGTAAATCGCAGCATACGGAAATTCTAAACAAACTATCGGTCCTGTGATGTACCTAACGTGCAGGTTATCTATAGAAAACGTTATTTTGCCTACACTAAATAACGCAAAATAACGTTTTTTGATAGATAACCGGCATGTTAAGTTTGGCGTTTCTGATACATCACATCAGGGCTAAATATATAACAATTTGTAACTAATGATATTCGTGGTTGTGTTGCTCAAATCATGTATGTAACTCGTTAATTCATATTTTATTGACGTTCTATTCATATTTTTCCATTGCTCTATTAGCTATTGTTAGTGCAAAATATAACTTCCTATACGTTCATATTGGGGCATACGGGAAGGAACGAGACAGCGGCATATTTCAAAGATCCTCTGTCTATCAACATACACAAAACTCTACTAAAAGATCGGATTGTCCCAGGAACTGTCGCACCACATGTTATTGTCGGTGATGAGGCTTTCCAATTGGAACAAAGTACTTTAAGACCATACACTAGCTAGAGATAAAACGAGAGCGAAATTTCAATTTCAATTATCGCATCTGCCAATCTCGAAGAACATCAGAATATTCTTTCGGTGTTCTCTTTTATTTGAAGCCTGTTTAAGAACTACTTCAACAGTCCAGTGGGAATTGCAGCTTGGCAAGAGAGACGTGTTACAAGAACAGATGCAAGCTAAAGTTACTAATATACGCGAATATGTCAAGATTCTTTATTGGCACCAATACAATTCCTTAATTAAATAATGCATATACTATAGTTTATTGAAATTTTTGCTGTGGTTCTAGCTGTGGTTCAAAATTTACCAGAAGTTCTGCACAGGATCTATACATAGTCTGAGAAAAATGTTCTGTGGTGTAAATCCACATTTTCATATTGAGGTGATGAAGTTGACTGTACCAAAAATACACAAACCTAACAATTCACATTAGACCAATAATTTCCTTTACAAACACCCCTGAGCCAAAATTGTCCACTTGGCTGAATTCCACATTAAAATCACTATTACCCCAATTTCCTCCTCACTCAAAAACCAACTCTAATGAATTTCATCACGAAATTTCAAAATTGTAATTAAGTGATTCCCAAAGACATCTTCTTTGATATAGTAAACATCTTTCCAAGTGTCCCATACGAAGACTAGAAATTTGTCATCCAACAATTACTTTCCGAGTCCCCTGATAATATGTCTAGATTTTTGCCTAAATCAAAATCTTCCCTACTTTAGTAATACCCAATACCCCAAAAATGTGGCCTGTCCAGAGGGGTAATAATGTTTCCTCTTTATTAGCCGAAGTCTTCCTTCCCAACTTAGAAACCCAAATCCTCTTTAAGAATCCTTTAATTAACAATCATTTCAAATTTTATGAACATTATGTGGATGGTTCGATGGTAGTGATTCGGACCCTAACTCATGTTTCAAGTTCCTAAGTACTTTATATACAACAATATAAGGTTCACTTTAGAAATAGAATCCAACAAAACCTCAATCTCCTAGACCTCTCCATTGAACGTAATCTTGGAGGAAACCCACCACCACTAATAACATAATCCATTACTCTTCGTTCCACCCGTTACAGCACAAACGACCCTCATTCCATTTCTACTTCCACAGATTACTAAACGTACCACTGGATACAAAAAAAATTAGTTTTGATGTCATTATCATTTATCAAATTGCCTCGAGCTTATCTCCACACTCCAACAGAAACTCCTCTACCAACACAACTTCAACAAATCCCCTTGTTTGTCCCCTATATCAGTAAAAACACAATTTTTTTATACCTTACCCTTGGACAACCATATATACAACTCTTTAAACATTTTCAAAAAATACAATATAAACAAAAAATACAAGGTATTCTATTTTAAAAAAATGCAATTTTGGTGTGCCGCGCCTTTATGAGCAACCCTGTACAATTAAAATTATTACTGCCTACTAGACATTGAAGACCCAAAAACGTTTCTATAAAATATATTTCGATATCTTGCATATTTTGCCCGATAATCGACCGTTTCCAGACTTATCAACGACTAAAAATTGAAACCTTTACATTTTACATGTCTGCGACAAAAGCCAAAAACTTAATTTTTTATAGAAATACGTGAAATCGTCAATAACCCAAAATTAACCCCCATAAATCACTTAACAAAATTCTCGGCTTCAATCAAAATTTACAGTTTTTGCAATAATTTTGGATCCTCCCGTAGATTTGACGAGTGTGCAGTTTCGTTCTTTACCCTTGTTACTCATAGCCTAACTTTCCACGTGCTAGTTCTTAATCTTGTAACATGTTATGTACTTTTCCAGTCTTTTTTAAACTGCTTTCGATGTTTCCCCCGTAGGTTTTTACTACGTAACAGACATATAATTTATTTTTCTCCTTTTGAAACTCGACTTCATCGTTTAAAATAGGTACTATGAAATTTTAACCCCATCATGAGACAATCCCCACGTTGAACCCTTGTGTGCAGTTGTGATTTATTATATAACTTGTGGTTCCACTTAAACCTACCCTTAATTGGGTTTTAAGTACACCTAAAAAAATAAAATTTGTTCGATGTAAGTATCCCCGTACCGATGAAAAGCTCTTAACTTCTAGGTTCTCGAGATACAATAAATTCTCTTTACCTATAACTTAATTTATCTCCTGCTTCACTGATAAAACGTGCACAATAACAGTAAGTAACTGTTAAGATTCAGTATTATAGTTAACTATCTTTTTTACTCTTTAGTTCACCTGAAGATGACACATTGTCGAAACTAGTTGTAAAAATAAATCGATTTTCTCACTGAAGACTGCGTCTTTTTTGGTGATGGGGATACATTAGGCACCCATCCTAGTGTTACATCCAAGTTATACGCCAGTGTTAATCTTTGAAAAATATCGATTTCTTATTTTGAAGGTTCAAAGTTTTCGTGACAAGTTTCTATTCGGCGTGGGGTGCCTGGGAATCGCACTTTCGAGTGCTTTGTTTATCCCCAAATCTTCGTGTAAATTTTTCAAAATTGTCGCCTCTGATATGTGAATTTCCCTTGAAATAACTGAAACAGTGTCAACACAACCGTTCCAATTTTTTTATTGTCTCCTCTGTTCTCGACCCAAAAAGCCAAAAATAAAAATTAGATCATCTTGTTCAAAACCCCAGGGGAATTGCTTCGACCAGAATTTTATTTCATGTACTATCAAAATTGAAGTTAATTATCCGGGTGCAAATCGGAAGCGAATGATTCCATTGCGAATTATCCGTGAGAGAATTTTTGGACTGGGGATTGTCCGGGTGCGGATTGTTCGGTCGCGACTTACCCGACAGCAAAATGAGCAGAGTACGAAATATCCAGGCTGAGAAACGTTGCAAACAATCCCCGAGCGAAATGCCTAGAGTACAAAAGAGCAATGATCGGGTGCGAATTATCTGAGTGCAAAATATCCTAGGGCCAAATGTTAATTTGAAGAAATGCCCTAACAAGGACATTAAATGTCTAGCTAAACCCATAACTGATTAAATGGGATGTCACATCTAACCTTTGTCGATTACAACAGAGCCATGGCATACATTTGAGTCAATGAAAGTACTAATCTTTGTATTTTTTTTGTAAATTGATATGAAAACGACGATGGCAACCCGAAATAAGTGGTCCACAAACACATTCCCCCCTTTTCGAAATGGGGTCATCGCACCTTCCAAAAAACAAGTTTTTTTGGGAAAGTTGAACGATAGCCTACCAGCAAACAACTTTTAAGGGAACTCACCACAACTGTTGACCTTTTCCCATGGATTCATGCAAACAACTTTTAAGGGAACTCACCACGATTGTTGACATTTTACCAGGTATAATAAAATTAACACAAAAATCCGTCTTAAGCTAGTGACAAAAAAAGATTTTTGACGCAAAAGCATAATAATTGAATAGACCAAATGTAAAATTAAACGGTTCACTGCTTCTTTATCATTTCGTAACTTCACGCTTAAAAAAAGTCGTGTAGTCCCGAATTACACTTTGTAATTTATGGCCATTTCAAATTACGTCTACGTATTTATAATACAAACAATATATTCGAACTCTAATCAAGGTCGGATTATGGTTTCGTTGATAACATTAACACTCAACAGATTCTATTTCCATGTTAGTTCAGTGACGGTGTTCGTGTCGTACGAAAAGAATGGCGCTAATATCCGGGAGGCTTTGCCAAGTTCTCGCGGTTATTACAGGTTTATTTTCTCTAAACTATTGCGATTGTTACTAAATATTACTTTTAGGCACGCTGACGGTGATATCAGATGGAATGCATTACGGGTGGTCGTCGCCGATAGTGCCTCTCTTACAGTCGCCCCAATCTCCAATACCCATAAGTGAATCAGACGTGCTTTGGCTGGAGAATTGCCTAATGTTCGGCGGGATAGCAGGATTGTTCCTAACGATGTACCTTTTGGATAAGGTGGGTCGGAAAAGAACAATGTTGATAGCGGCAGTGGAAAATTTAATCGCCTGGGTTTTAATCGCGACAGCTACAACACCGGAGGTGCTGCTTGTGGCACGGTTCATATCTGGTATCGCAGCCGATGTCAATTTTGTGGCCGCACCAGTTTACATCGCCGAAATCGCCGATAAGGAAATACGTGGCCGATTAAGTTCGCTAATAAACATTTTTTCTCTACTTGGAGTTGTCCTGATATACTCTGTTGGACCATTCGTATCCATAACGATATCAAGCGCCATAGGAATGGGTTTCCTGGTCACTGAGCTTCTCACGTTTTCGTCCATGCCGGAAAGTCCCCATTATCTCTTAGTACGACAGAAACCTGAAGCCGCTAGGGAATCGCTAAAGGTACTTCGAAATGTGGACGTCGACGATGAGCTGAGAGAACTGACGGAAGTAGTCGAAAGGGAAAATGCTTGTAGGGGGCGACCTTTCGATTTAATCAAAGTGAAGAGTTATCGAAAGGCGATTTTAATCATGACTGTTTTAAACTTTGGACAACATTTTACGGGTCTCAGCGTTATGATAATGAACTTACACATAATTTTGGAAGAAGCTGGCTCAAGTATCAAAACCAACACTGCGGCGATCGAATTTTCTCTTCTAATGGTGGCAGCTTGTATAATTACGATGTTCCTTATCGATTTACTTGGACGAAGAGTACTCCTAACCACCTCCAGCGTTCTCACCGGAATCTCGCTGCTTGTTCTAGGTGTTTACTTTGCAATAAAAAATGCAGGTGGCAATACCAGAGACTACACCTGGATACCTGTAGCATCTTTAATGGTATACGCCATTGTTCATAAAATCGGTCTGGGGTCTATACCAATTGTGGTCACTGCCGAGCTGTTTCCTACCAACATTAAAGCTGTCGGCTGCACAGTAGCCGATTCGATTTACGTAATTGCGAGCGCCTCTTCAATTTTCGTCTTTCACTACATGCTTCGCCAATTCGGTATGCACGCGCCAATATTTCTGTTCGCCGCCTGCTCGATATTGGTCGGTTTATTTGTTATATTCTTTCTGCCTGAAACGAAGGGCAAAACTTTAGAGCAAATTCAACAGATGCTGAAAGGTGAAAGTGACGCAAATTCGGAAACTACAAAGTTGCTATCGCCAGTTGGAGAAACAGACGAAGATTACGGTGCTGTGATTAACACGCAGGCAGGGCCTTAGTGTAAAAATGTGATATATATCATAGTTTTAAATGTATAATATGTAAATAATTGGTTTTAAAGTAATTTTATATTTTTACGGATTGATGTACTGCAACGAGTTGTTTTGCTTACCAATTCTAAAACAAGTATTAAACATTTACCTATCCAATGCTGGGTTTATTTGTATATCTGTCATACGTGAATATTGTGGACTGAAACGGAAATCGATCCGATTGTTTCAGTACGTTATGTGGTAAAGTAATACTACAATTAGCCCAAATAAATCAGTCTGGATTTTTCATTAACACTCACACCTGCTCCCGTTGCAGTTTAACAAACTATAAACGGGTCGATTTTTCGTTTTCATGTTTCAAGATAGATAGATAGGTAGGCTCCAATACCATGGTTTCTACAGAAGTTAAATGACAGTTCAACGTAGCAGTAAGATGAAAAACCGGTCTTTAAATCAGCATTTCCCGATTTATAAAATCATAACTGTTAGCATGCTTCTAAACTAAACTACTTGGTACTGTTTGTAAGGAAGGGGGTATTTTTCTTAAGAGAAGTAATTAAGTGAAAGTTCAATGTGCATTCTAATGTTTTTGAAACAGTATAAATCAACGAACCCATACTTTTCCTTTGTTGCTCTCAAGAATGAGGTATTAATTCAATTATTTGCCCTTCAAGAAGAAATCGGTTAATAAATTTATTAATTATTATAGTTGATATAATAATTAATACTGATTTTTCGGCGGATCCTGCAATCCCCAACGGAAAAGTACCAATTTCGTCCAAAAAAAAATGGAATATATCAAGAATGCTCATAGGACTTTTCTGGTCTACAGCTGATAATGCGGAAAACCCGTCATATTGATTTTTTCAATTCAGAAAGTTTGTTTGGAGTTCATTTCAGCTTGTTATTTACCTATTTTCTTCAGTACTTCATGTATTATGAAGGAAATAAAAAAAATGCCTGAAAAAAAGAAAAATTTACAAAGCTTGTTTGGACACATTAACCCGCATTAAATTAAGATATCTTTTTTTCGTATTTTTTTCTTATTCAAATAATGTGGTTGTAAAAGGTTTAGGCGCCGTAAAATTGATACAAAAACACTGGCTGACAGCTTCAATAAACTTCACTTGTTCTTGATTCCACTGAACTAGATGCCAAATCTGAATTATTGAATTTGATGACAAATTTTCGGTATCTGGTCCGACGGTAGAAGGTTTTAACTTTTAATCAGAAGGCAAACTTAACGAAAGGCCTTGCTGTATACTACAACTGCTTGCTCTTTCAACATTACTCCCAGACTGATTTATTAAAACTTCTTATATAAATGAACTCCCCCCCCCCCCACCCCAACATTATGTCTCCAGAACACTCACTTCAGAGACTACAGCGAAACTTAGAAATTGTGTACCGTTTCTTAAAAACAGAGCAACCCAACCCTTAGCGGTGGTGTAGCCTCTTTTGTCAGTAATGACATTGCAGTCAAAACTTCCCTATGGTCATTCCACCGGGATTTCCCCAAGGTCGTGACCTTTACCTTACCTCCAAGGTCATTGTCTTCGATGCTTCAACTTTATGGTCTTGGATTGTGGATCGAGGTCATGGTCTTGAGTTTTGGACTTTCTCCCAAGTTACTAATTTTACAAATAGAAAAAGCAACCGCGTTCAAGCAAAGCAATAGATTATTATTCATTTCAGAATTTTACAAGAAGAGGAAAAAGCAGCTAAGCAAGTAGGCAAAACAAAAAAAACTTTACTTACATATAACGTTATCCTAGTTTATGTTTGAAAATCGTTACTTTTCTCAAGGCATGAAAATAGAGATGCACAGTTGTCACTATAATCGCGTAATTTAAAGAGAAAGATTATGGTAAAGCTGTTAAAACTCGTAATAATGAAACCTGTCTACGAGCGCGCAGTGGAACCCCCGCAAACTAACTGAAATCAAAAGGCTACTTCGTATTCGAAAACAAGGTCATTGCCTCGAGATTCCCCAAGTCATGCCGTTGGAATTCGACTTAGGGCTTTCCCCAAGCTCGTGGCCTTGGACTTCGACTTCGGGTTCCCATGTCATAGTGGACCAATTGCACCGGCCATGGCTGCAAGCAAACACGCCGTTAACATCTGGAAAAGGCACCAAACGGCACGTGGTAAATTCAAGAGGCTTAGGTACAGCGAAAGTCTCACGTCTAATCAAAAACAGTAAAAGCGATTCGTGGTCAAATTACACTTCTTCCATCAATACCTCTACCCCAATAAAGGTAATATGGAACAAAATTCTAAAAATACGTGGCAAAAATAGATACGCTCAGAATTATAAACACACTCTCACAACAAACTGATATCGTGTAAGAAGAAGATCCCCCGAATCTTAGCCGATACAAACAGAATTCCAGCGACGATAACTTAAATACCCCCTTCGTAAAACACAAAAAATCCCTCAATTGCTGAATCCGAATGCCGCCTAAACGCTTCTATAAACTACAAACCCCCCATAATTATGAAAAACTCGAAAAAGAGATAAATGCATAAATAAACTCACCTTCAACCCCTATACCTTCGATGGGTGGATAGATGTTGCGCAACAACTACCGGTACCTGTTCAGCTTAAATCGCTGAAGCTCATAATACAAAATAGAACCTATAAAAAGGACCTGGACACGAAATCACAGCAAGTTAAACATTGATGATTACCACGCATGGAAATTATCCCCACAAAGCAATTATAATTTACGTAAAATACACAAAATATAAATAATGTAAATAACACTAATTGATTTCTTGGTGAATCTCGGTATCAATTGATCTTAATGACAACATTTAGATTGACAGTTACAAATTTCCCAAAATGACGCCAAGCGGCATCAAGTTAGTCTCTGAATTATTTTCCGTAAACCAAACCAAACGGACGCCTCGATAAAGACCAATTTTCCATCAGCAGACAATTTTCACACGTGTCACGTCGCCATCACCTCATCTACACGGAAATATTTTTAACGAAGCAGTCCCGAACACGAACGACAACATAGTGACCAAAACCTGCACTATGAGCATAAATCATACACAGTTCGATCTGCTCCCAACAGTTCGACAAGAGTAACCGTCACATCCGTCTCAAGACTGCTTCCAAATTAAACTCCCCAACGGTCAACCCTGACTCCTACCCTATTTTTAATCGCTATCAACAGTATCACACGTGAAACGCCGACGACCTTGTCATATACATCAAAAGCAAAAACGTCCTTCTAGCTTCCAAAATACTGTAAGGTTTCATAATACGAACTGGAAAAATGGAATGGATTTTTGGGGGACTGATTGGTTCATTGGAACTGTTCACACGAGGAGACTTTTTCATTAGCCCGAGACTTAATCCGAGGTATCCGAATCCGAATTATGTTCGTACTTGATGTTACATAGGCTACATAGAAGCGAACTTTTTTCATAGGGACTTTATAGAATCGTAAAAATTCGCTCCAAGGCTTAGTTTGAGGACATAATGATTTGTTGCCATAACCAAAAAGTAACCATCTCTTTGCCATAACTGTGTAAATAATTACTGACGAAAATGGCAAAAGTAAAAAAAAATCTTAGAATGTTAAAATAATTATGCTTTAATAAAATTAATTTTATTCGTTAGCATATCTAATCACCAAGTTCAATTAAATCACATTAAAGGTTACCAAATTGTTATTTCGCCGTCTAGACTGGAGTTCGCATACAACAAAGGTAGCAGTTCTAAGATCGAAGCTATAATATTCTGCAATAGCACTAACAAACTTACCTATCCAGTATCCACTTATCTATTATTATTATACCTCTCAAAGTTTGCGTAGACAGGTACTTGAGAATCTATGGACTCTGACCAACTTATATTGTAAATTTCATAACAATAACTGCCTCATAAATAATACTTCATAAGACTTTTAATAAACTTACTCCATTTACTAAAATGAAACGATGTATCATCGCTTTAGTTAAGCTAGCCGTTCGCTTCTCGAAATTATTAATTAGCTACCTAAATGTAATTCAATTGCCAAACTAAGAGACGAGGTTTCCTATTTTTCCGACAGTTGGTAACTTTTCCTCCTCCATATACTTACTGTCAACCCAAAATTCTAAAAATATGGAATGCCCTAAAGACTAATTAGTGCGAAACCCTAGCCATTACACAAACAAAGTTAAATTAAAAACAAAGGAAATCTTTGTTCGGTTGCAAAAACTCATAAAAGTTTTAAGTGTACAATTTCTGCTTTCGACTTAATGTCTTTGAACAATGAAAAGAAAGTTTGTTCGTTTAAGCGTAATTTGCCAACTTTGCATATTGATTTGTAGCGTATATTTTTACTTTTCGGTCGGATGTAAGGGGGAACAAATGCTGGATTCCACTTTTCCATCGTTGCGTTTGGAGGTGATCCCGCGCCCTTTTGTTTTACACGCCGAAGCCGAAAGCGAAGCGATATTTTCTTCCTGGAAATCCATTTTTTATGGTGATTTTCACCGCTCTCATTTATAATGGAGTACTTTTATTCGGTAGAAACATGAGTTCATATCGAAAGTGTTGCCGCTGCCTAAATTCCTCTATGGAGCACTTTAACGACAAATTTATGATGCCATTCTGTTATCACAATGTAAATGCAAGAACCTCTCTTGAAGTGTTGGAGGTCTTTATTGAAAGGTTAATTCTTCACAGGTGATCTGTAAAGTTGTTCCACCTTCTCAAGTTAAACATTTCTTTGTAGACCCATTGTTAATTCAACACCTTGTGTTGAATAAGCATCACACAATACTGTGTGCAGTTTTTGGGTCGTGCCGGTTGGTACGTTGTCATTCTCTAATATTGAAATCATGGTCCTGTCTAAAATATGTTAGTGTTTTTGTTAATTTATGTGCTACTAGGCAGTAATTATACCACTACAAAAATCGCATTTTCAACAACAACTGCAAGCTTGAAATAAAGAATAAATGATTAAACATCTTACTGTGAGCAATGACACGCGGTCACTACGCCCCCCTACAAAACACCTGTCCATCTAGCGCAAAACAAATCAAAATTTAAACTTAGAATTATATCGGGCGATCAAAAATGATTGGCTGTCGAATCGCCTTAGGAAGTTCAAGTTAAATAGGATTTCCCATGTAAACAAAAATTCCAAAGGCGACTAGACAGCCAATCATTTTTGATCGCATTGTATTTCCTCGTACACTTCTTGCATATGCTATATTTATGAAAAATTCCAAGATTAACTTAAAATTTCTCAATTTGAGAGACTCGGTAGCCTCGATCAGCTTCCTGAAAGAAAGAAAGGCTTACAAAGCCTATTTGGACATATTAATAAGTGGATAGATTTTCGGTGGCTGTTCGAACGGTAAACACTTTTAATTTTTAATAAGAAGAGAACCTTAACGAAAGATCTCGCTGTATTACAACTCAACAAAACTATTCAGTAATAGGACAAACTTCTCACACAGCAACGGTTAACTTGCTCTTGCACAAATTTATTTAAAAAATGACAAACTGCGTCTTCAACTAAACAAGTAGGGCCGATTGTGTGAAAATTTGGCGTAAAAACATGTAACCGCTCCTCAACCGTCGCGAAACCTGTATTTAAGGAAACACCACTTCTACCATAAAACAAACTCCATCTTCAAAAATTATCAAATAAATCGCCAATCAACGCTCACTTATCCAGATGAAACGCGCAATTATTTGTAACATCTACATCTCTTTATCACCGAAAGCAAACGGCGTTTCATAACGACAAAACTTCTTATTGCAAATGACCAGGTGGCTTTTTCTAAAATACGAAAAATTAACCAGATGTGTCTCACTTCTATCTAAATTGAATAAATTGCAAAAGTGATAAAATTAAAAAGAAAAAAATCCGCATCTAACGAAATTTCTAAAAGCTAAACCAATTAATACGAACATACAAGTTCAAGTAAAATATTCCAACTGTGCGTTTATTCATAAAAATCCACTATATTTCCATTTAAAAATTGAAATTATGCCACATACAGTATAGCATAGCCCAACTTTATTGAAGGTACTGACAACATAACGTCTACGTGATGTAATTTACACAACATTTCCCCCTTAAATTGAACACAAAAACGGATTTACATGAAACCCGCCTTTGAATACACAACAAAATCATTGAAATTGTGGGTTTTTGATCCATTTACCAACTGATCTCCCTTTAATAGGTCCGAATTTGTCCTTCAACAGTCGGACACGATCGCCTAAAAACAATTCCCTAGTCAAATCAAGATTATACCATCAACCATTCATGCCAGGATTCTGGATTCATACCTGTACAGTATATACAAATGAAATCTACCCCTAAGTCGGTCTGAATCATCTTTATCATTCTTAATTGGTAACAATAATTTTTTTAATTTTCGTTGACTGTTTGAAATTCTTGAAATTATTCAAAATCTAATCTTTGATTTTCTTTAAAAATCGAAATTCTACCAAATCTCCCGATTTCTGAGATCCGAATAAGAGTGAGAAGAATCTGAAGCAGTTAAAACACATAAAGGGTTCTGAAAGGTTTGAAAAGTTTTAAAAATTCAAAATCGAATGAATCAGAAGAATGTTAAGGTATCAAAAAATTAGACCAGTTTAAATAATGGGAAGAAACGGAAGAATACTAAGAATTTAATAGATCTGCTAAAATGTGTAGAAAATAGATCTAAAAAGTTCCAACATGTGAAGAATCCAAATAAATGATTTGGGGAAGTTTGAGGGGACGAAAATATCCAAAAAACCCAAAGGGTATGAAGAATTTGAAGGATTTTAGATATTGGAGGAATAAATAATGAGAATCATATCTTTCACAAGTAACTTAATCAATTCAATGACCGGTGGCCTTGGAATAATAACTATAAACAAATTAACGAGCAAATTAATTGTATTACCTGAGGAAGACATCATTCTCATTATTTAAACGGTTCCAATTTTAGAAGATGCATTGTTCTCAATTTGATATTTAGGGATGTGAGTAGGTCAAAGGACTATCAATTACAATACCGGAAATACATGGGAAAACTGAGAGATGTCATGATTTTTATGAATCTTAAAGAATTTGAGGATTTAGAAAAAAAGAAAGAATCTGAATGACCATGACAACGGGGGAGAATTCGGAGAACCTCAAGAAATGCAATAATCCCAATTTTCGAATAGATTTTGACCTGTAGACTGAAGAATCTTACGATTTGATCACCAGAAAAGGGGACGAAGCAATGAAACCGATTTGTAAAAAAGAAATTGAGCGAAACAAAATTATGAATCCTGGTCAAGTGCTTGTTTCGCCTCCGGCGGAGGTTATTACCACAATTTCTTTTGGATTTATAAAAACCTTACTACTGTAACGAGTATCCCAGACAGGGGGACGCCGTCGAAGGTTAGTCATTGGCGCGACTATAAAAAATGAGTAGACACGTTCTAGGTCTTTCCAGATCGTTTTCGCAAACCTTCTCTATTTTTCTGGAGTGTTCCATTGTACTGTATAAGCAAATTGTAGGATATTTGAGATCAGGGTCAAAATAGATGCGTTCTTGTTATGTTATAGATTGTGAGTGATAAATTGTAATTACTGTTATAAATTAATCCATTTTAAGACTGTTGTATATTTATTGTTAATTACTTAATTGTTATAAATAAACGACGTAATTAAATTTACGCTACATTATCTTCTGGTTAATTTAACTTGATGTTTTTCAAAATTTGTCTGTAGTAGGTTTCACCCCGCTCTACCCTTAACCAAATGTTCACCTATCCTTATCCTATATAAACGCCACGTGATTAAAAGACGGGAGTTTTGTTTTTCCACCTAATTGAAATTTGTGTCTCTACTATGTCCTCCAATGCGCGAGTGTTGTACGGCAAGTAATATATAATTAAGAGACCCGAGATGGAGACGATTACACTTCGGTTCAGAATTGTCACCGCAAACATGTGTAGTATTAAAACAGATACTAAAAGTGAACTAAATAAGAAACCTAAATGAGGATCCCCTTAGGAAATGAAAAAGTTCCATCATACTTTACAAAAAAAATCTTAAAGAGTAGGTAGTCCATTACTTAGGACAAGTAGGATTTAATTTAGTTCCTCAAGTGTGCAAATAAAGTTTTACGTTTAGCGCAGCGAGGTGAGATACTCGTACATCAAAATGTTGCCATTCGAGCTACAAAATTCTAAAGATACATTAAACTTATGAGGTGTACTTGTCTACACTATAAAACTCTGCAAGGGTTTTGTTTTAAAGGTCGCGAAAACATTAAAAAGATCATTAACTGTGAGCGGTAAACTTCCTCCGGTTATTGCTTATTACAAAGCACGTGATAAAACAGGCACAAAAAAAATAATGGTTGCACAAAATAAATAGATAAGGCGAGTAAAGTCAATATAAAGTGGTTGCATTGCATAACGGCGAGGCTGGGATTGGCTGGTATTCAGTGCAGCTTCTTTCGAATCGAGGGTGCTTTTGAGCCGCCGCCTCGTATAATGAAGCCATTCTTTTTTTATTAATTTACCTTCTGGCTTGACAATTAATTTACTAGCAAAATATATAATAATAATAATAATTGTTCCAAAAAAAGAAAACAAAGATTTATTGCAGTACATTAAGGGCGAAGTTCAGCACTGCGGCAATGCCACAGTCTGCTCTTCCACTTAACCCCAAAGTATAAGTAAGTAATTCCACCCGGAGTCACACGATAGTTGTAACCAGAGTTTGGATTTAACTTTTTGAATTATTATCGCAAAAATAGGTACAATAGAATTTTTAAGCTTTAAAAAAGGTCAAGATGCTGCTGGGGGTTCCCACACATATTTTGATAAAGAATTTATGTAGATAATTACGGTCAATGAAATTATCTGTTCCTTAATTACCTGAAGCGTCAAGATTTCGGGTGTGCAGCTTGAATTACATCAATTTTAATTGAGCGATATGATTATATTTCCTAGTCTTCATAAGGTAAGCTCGCTAGCGATCATCAGATTGGGGAATTGTGATCGTAGAATTTTTTCGAGGACCGGATCCTTTAAAGATATCCTATTTATCTAATTAACACCATTTTAGGGCGTACTGAAAAATTTAAAAGAGAGTAGGGGTTAAGTAGGGCCGGGGTCTGTTGATGATTACCAGAGAGTAAAGTGCGCGGTCCAAAGACAAAGACAGTTCTTCAGTCGTTCCGGGGTAAGCCGTCGAGCGTGAACTCACGAAGGCGCCCAGTTCGCAGTACCACCTGAAAGCAAAAATCATAAGTGAAGTCATAGCAAAATTAGGCGAAAATCACGATCAATCGCACGTAAAACAGTTAGAAAATGTTTAGCTAGTGACCCAAATTCTGTGCGGAAAAAAGTTCAACTGCCATAAGCGATCATTCGGTCTTCTCAATCAATCTACAGGGTGAGAGCTGCGCCAAGTCCTGTGTTGGAGGCATCGGTTTGGCAAAGTCGGGACAATCCAGAATCGTTGTTACGCTGATTAGACGGTTCTTGAGTTGAAAAATTTGGAACAAAACGGCGGTGCCAGGATGCTAGTCCAGGAAATCTTCTGAGGGCTTTGATATTGTGCGGAGTCGGTAATTGTTCTATGGCGGCTACTTTATCTGGATCGGATCTGGACTCATAACGTGTCCCAAATATTTCAACGACGGACGGTAAAAATTTTCGGGGTTGATTTTGAGATTGGCCCATTGGAGACTGCGGAAAACTTCTCTCAAATTTTCTAACGGTTCGTTAGGACGTTCTCTTCAGCACGATCATGTCGTCCAGGTAGGTGAACGCCCGTGTCTGCATTTCAGACCCTATCACAGGGTCCAAAAGACGCTGGAACGTGGCAAGTGTGGAATGTATCCTAAAGGACATTACTTTAAATTGGAAAAGACCTGATGGATCGATTAGTTTTTGTCAGCTGTATCTGCAAATACCCTTCGCTCTTGGAGATATATCGGGCTTATCGAGGGCGGTCTAAAAGCACATTTATGAACGGTAACGGATAGGCATCTTTAATAGTGACTTTCGGAAAATAGAATTATATGCATGGATTAAAACGTTAGAAGTAATTAAGAGTTAAAACTTCGACTCAATTAATCTACATAGGTAATAAACCTTACTGGTGTTTGTCAGGTTCCCAAATTAAAATGTGCATTTGATACATTTGCGGATTTAAACCAATTCTTTTCGATATACCCTAACAAAACAAATTGACAAACAATTATTTGTTGGAGAGTGTTTAGGAAGTGAAGTAAAAGAAGTCATAATTAGTTAAAGCAGCAATTGTAGTGATCCAAATGGATCGCTATAAAGAAAAGAAATTCGAAAGAACAGTGTCGTAAACGTAGAGTAATTTCTGTAAAAGAAAATGGAATTTGAATTGCTCCAATTTACTCGATGGCATTCTAATGTTGTTTTTCTGCAGCTTGCGTCGGCTATAACATCGATTCGTAAGACGGGAAACTTCTATTTTCTCCACCAATCAGCCGGGACGGCCCACGTATGCAAGTTATCTGATAATTACGATCGCCAATTGGGAAATCGAGTGCGGTCCGATTACATTGTCTTGAAACTGATGTAGGTATTTAGTTTAAGCCCGAGTCTGAAACCGCAATATGTTCTACAATTATGTAAATGGACCTATAGATCCTCGGCCATTGTAATTATATCCGTAGTGTTATAATTATTTTAAGGCTAATAGGCGAAAGGATCGCTAAAGGTCGAACGGACCACTTATACAAGAGGAAGATTGGACAAGTGGAAAAGGTTCGGAAGAGCTGAGCAGGGATCGAGACATTGCATAGAAATAGTCGCTTGATTCTATAAAGTATTTGACGAAATCGAAAAGTATAAAATCGGTCCAAACGCCTGACGTATTTTCTGCTTGGGGTGCATTTCACTTAGCCATTTTATTTATTCGTCATGCAACTGCGAATTGTCGTAATCGGAAGCACATCTGTAGAAGACGGTTGCGTCCAATAATTAATGCTGCAACATTATTCTAGGCATCCACAGCCACACGCTTAGTTGTTAATTTGCTTAAACACTGGGGCTTTATACGTAATCTCGAGTTTATTACTTTATTTCATGAGCTATAACTGTTAATTGGACAAGTCCGTCGAATACATCTTTTGGTTTATATTTTCTTGTGCCAACGGGAGCTACCTTTTCACTGATGTCAAGTATCATTCACATACTAAACGTCAATGAGATCCAAGAAAACTTCAATTCCAACACTGTGGGTTTGGATCATTTTGAAATAAGGTAATCTAAATAGAACTCCGTTATTCGGAGGGGAAATAAACAAATTAATGGCTAGGGCGGAATCCGTCGAAGTAGACAATGAAAAAGTATTCCACATTTGTTTGGGAGAGGTGCGATTTCAATCGCGAGCGGTGGAAGACGAATTGCTTAATGTTGAAGGTTAAGTTTTTTTTTCTATAATCATTACAGTGAGGCGAAGCAAAATCTAGCAAGCACTTTAGACCTTCCTAATCAATTTTGCGAGAATAGAATAGTTCTTTCATTTTGGTAGTTGGTATTGCCAATTCAGTACTTAAGATTGAGCTTTTAAAGAGAACAGTCCGTAATGTATTTCTGGGGGGTTTAGCAGAGCTGTTTAAATTTCCGGTGTAATCGATTTATTTTAAAAGTTGGTAATATTGCTGTATATAAATGACTAATTGACAATATTATAGGCGGTGCGGATTGGAATTGTTTATGTTCAATAAGTGCAAATCAATTTCTAAGACACTTCAATCATTCTCACTCTTAATTACTATACAAGCGCCCGACCATTGAGAGAGTGGTGTAAAAGAATACATATTATACAATTTGGTTTTAAAAGGACCATATCAGGTCAAAGTGGGTAAGGCAAGACGCTGCAAGGTACGTGTAATTAAACTGCTGAAGTGAAAGAACACTCTGAAATTGGGACTAGGTGCAATGCCTATCGGCATACTACGAATTGTTCATAGACTTGTAACCATTGTAAGTAAATCTGTTGAATTACTCCAAGAAGGTGTGAGGAACAGTCTACAATCGGTACGAGTGACGGCGTGGCCCTCACAACCCTTAAATTTTCTCACTGTCCTACCGAGATTAAACAGTACTCGTGTAGGAAAAAAATTAGTAGCAAAACTATCTCGTACATTTTTAAATTATTGCTCAGGCTATATTGTACCAATCTCCCATCAACGTTTTCTCCTTTTTTTGTGAAAATTTTAACTCAAATTACGATAGAAATGTCACACGCGAAATATTTTTCCTTGAACGAAGATTTTGTTGTAGTTTTGTGGTGTCCTATGTGGCGACGAAATCATTTTGTGCTGTTACAATAAAATTTATATGAAATATACATTACAGTGAATGGAAACTGTGACGGCTTTACAGAGATTGGAAACCCCATTCGTAGAAAATGAATCTTAATCTCTACGGCACTGGTAAATTTTTAATGTAAGAATTAATTTTTGTAACGTAATAATTAATACCATGGATAGCTCAGTAATGAAAAATCTTTTAATGATCTTTACCTTGCGGAGGATTGTCTATTTATCTCCACTTTTAATCTGAAAATTAAAAGCTGATTTTCTGGTACGATCACTCTCAAATAAACGCTCATGTAAATGGACTTGATTGCAAATACTGTGACAAAAAATTCGTATCTTAAAATATTTATATAAATTCATTCAATGAATATAAATTAAAATTTCAAGTATATCTCGTGATCACGTCGAAATTTAATTAAGTATATCGATTTTTTACTATTAGTAATTACGCCCGGTACATTTCCATATTCAAAAACAAATCTACATCTGGAAGCTATATAAACTTGACCCCAGACAAAGGAATGGTACAAAAAAAACTTAAAATTCAACTTGATAATTAATGCGAGAAAAAAGTCACCAACAACAATGGGACCTCTTGTATCGTTTGGTAAACTTGATTGCTCTTTGAAAGTCAATCTCGAAAGATGTATGACAATTTGAATCCGGAGCAAACTGGGCTTCAGGTTTCTCGAACTTTAATAGCTGTTGAACTTTTGTTAATTCATTGTTTCAATGTTTTATAGTAGCAAAGTAAGAGTAGATAAATGTAAACAAAATTACCCTTATAGGGGTTAAATGCTAGGAAAAGCACGAATTAATTGTCTTCAAACTTTTTGACCAGTTGCCCTTTAATGCAAGATCTATTAACACCCTGTATACACAAGAAAGGTGCACAGTTCTGATTAACAACGCCCTAACTCCGCAAAATCATCATTAACTAGTATTGGCCCTTTGATGGTGGACAAAGTTCCCTTTGACGGGTATTAGGAAACTTCTTCATAAACGAAAAACACGCTTATCGTCCGTGTAACGCATCCCACACTTGAGTTTAACTGGATTAGACTTCCTACTACAACACTTTATAACGGCAGAACTGACTATTTTACAATAAACTTGGATACTTTTGCAACAAATAACGCTCACGAAACAAAAATCTTGACCGAAACGCTTCGATTAACGTCTTCCTCTTCAATTTAAAACCATTTCCCTTTCTCACTTCTTACTTCCTACTTTCTTAACAAAATACTGCGTCTTTAAAAGAATTAACATCTGCTTACCTCACGTGCTTATCTTGAAACTAATTATCTAACGCTGCGATAACGCTCTTATCGCGAGGACTGGAGAAAGAAACATGAGATAAACTTTTACAAATACTATACTGTATTCATTTTAAGAAGATAGCGGTAAAAAGCATAGGGAAGCTTCGACCTTCAGTGTGATTGGTTAAAACACGAGTCAGTATTACAATGAAACATAAAATGAATGGCGAATTTTGCAAGCTGTTAGTTTTTATTGTCAACTAAACTCATGAAATGTCATTAGCTGTTAATGTCAACGATTTATTTCTGTTTGCAGTATTGGATATTTCTATTTGACAATAATTTGGTGCCGTTTTATATTTTTCCTGTGTGTGTTTATCTTCAAACACAGCGCCATCTACTACCTTCTTATAATGAATGCAGTATAAGTAAATAATTCCAGACTGAACAAATCTAGTCTTTCAACACATCATTTAAATTTACAATAATCAAAACAAAATAACCATTATTTAAACAAAACCAAAAATCAAATAACTCTGGGACAAATTCAAAATTGACCTAGAATTCACTAATATGATCGAATCTTGTATCCAATCGCAGATTACAACTTACTTTCAACAAATAAAAAATAATTGAAATGCATATACAGAGTGTCCTATCGTTTTTGCAGGTGCTGATTAGTGCTAATACTAAATTAATAGTCCACCGGGCGTAGTTGACACAACAATATCTTTCAAATGACTATATAGGGTGTATTATTATTTAAATTTTGGAATGTAAGCCCTCAACTGGAATTGGTCTAAAAATACTGTGCATCGCCCACCAATGCTAAGAAATGGAATACAAAAAGACACTCAAATTCAATTTATAACATGTCGTCCCAGGAAAACCAAGATATCTTTGGGAGCCACGAAATGCAAGAGGAAAATGCTGAAGTAGATGAATCTAGCCAGCAATCTGAGCAGGTCAGTGCGGGTCCAAAAAAGCTAGTGATGCTAATGAAGATAACATACCGACACCGCAAGCCAGCTATGGGCCAGGGCAATTCCAACACTTGACAAACATGATGGAGATGCTCATCAAGCTTCAGGAAGAAGCTCGAAGAGAACAGCAAGAAACCCGAAGGAGTGTACATTTGTACAAGAAACCCAGAGGAATGTTCAAGAAATCCAAAGGTGTCTACAAGGAGGTCAACACAAAATGGAAGAAACTGTAAGGGAAACCAGGAAGGACATGAATCTCCAGAAAATTCAACACCAAACCGTGCTAGATTATTTGAGACAAGAAGTTAAAAAGGACGAGAAGAAAGTGGATTGGGTGGTGAAATTAAACCAAACTAATGCGTACATTGAAGAACTGAAGGAAGATTTCCTGAGACAGTACTGATCAGAATATGTTCAAGATAAGGATTGCGATTGGATACAGTGCTACACCTTACCGCAACGGCAATTATGTGGACCACGGGTGATATTGGGTCAGCGAACAGTACATCGGGAACCTGCCATTGCTGAAGAACACCTGGTGCATGTTATCACACAAGAAGTGAAACGCATTTTAGTTAGAGCAGGAACCAAAACAATGCGCTAACTAGAAATTGTACCCGTTTTCTGCAAATTTTTCACCCATAATGAAGTTCAATTCCTGTAAGTGTATAGACCCCCTTTAAAATATTAAAATGCAAATAATTTTTGCATTAATTCTTTTTAATAGTACTTAATAATTATCTAATTTTGGTGGCGAAAAATGACAGAGGCACTAACATTAATAGTGTTACTTATTTGCTATGAGTAAACTTATTTTCCGAGGTAATTGCTCCTTTCTGTCTCATACAGTTGAAATAATAAAATAGTTTGCAAACAAACTAGAACTAGGTTTTGCAACCTCTCGGAGACTACACGAACGTATATGTAAGACAAACACTATCAAAACCCACCCTAAACTAACATTAATTAATTTCCTTAATTTGCTTGTTAGTTGGATAGCTTAATGTAGGCTGATGATAATATTTTTTTCTATGACACACAGGCCAGGAATGTATAAAACATTTTGTCCTGCTAAAGTCCGCGCTTGTAAGGGTTTATGTTTGTGTTGCACGCATTACATGCTGTTTAAACACGGGCGGCCAATTATTTTAATCAAAGCAGGGGAGAGTTTTTCAGCGATAAAAACGTTGAAGAGGCAGTGCCTGCAGAATTATTTCTTCGCTCAGTATCGTACAACCACCTCGATAAGGTAACGCAAAACGAAATTGCACTAACGTTTATTAACGGGGATAGGGTAATTTCCTTTAATGGCCGCTATTACGATACTGAATCGTCTGTAGAACTAGGATTGCAAACGGTGGCGGTCCAAAACCATATCACTTAATTCTTTATAACAATAAATTTGAGTTAATTGCGAAACTAAAGTCTAGCTGTGTTCGTGGCGTGTTATAGAAATTAACAAATTGTTGTTGGGCTTTAATAGGCAAGATCTCGCAATTTCTAACTGCCACTACAGCATGCACGGTAGCACAAAAACGTTTAATGTTCGAAAAGTACAAATTAGGGGAGTAATCATAAAATAACGTACCCATTATGGTCTACCGTGTTATAAATGAACCGATTGTAAAAACAATACACGTACAACTTTTTGCACGTTAGCCGACCAATTGTCCTTTAATCCTTTTTTTCCTAATTTATAATTAAGTTAGACACATGTAATAAACGCGTGGTAATAAAAAATAGTGTAGCGAAATCGAATTATATTTTAATCTACAATCGTAAAAATGTAACAAACGCTTTTAAAGCCCCATAAAACGCAGTCGTAATCAAGTAAGTAAATTAAAACGGAAATAATTTAAATTCGGTTGAATTTTAATGCAAGTACCTACATTAAATGGGAACGAATAAGACAATTTTAAGCTGCGGAACTCCGCCGATAAACGTAATGGTTACCTATGCAACACAAATAATGTTTCTGTGTTCATGTCAAACGTACACTGCTCACGCTTGTCTGTCCTAGTTATAGTAATCCTACCTTTATGCCATGCATTATTTATAATACAATTTTGGTTGGTTGTCCAATCGATTAATAATATTAAATTTATCATTATGTTACGATAACGCGTAGAATTTGTAATAATTTAGCATACTAGTTTATGCATACCTAATCTTTTTTTGCGAATAGTAATTCTGATAACACTGGATTAACTGACTGAATGCGTTCTTAGTGTGTTGGGACTAGTTCCGAAGAATGTCGATTTGAATTGGAAAATTCCAGACTCGCTAAAATTGTTTAAACTAATTATCTAAGTGTCTTTACGCGAATTGGAAAGAGCTGTATTCCTCTGGAGGTAAAGTTATTTTTATAAAATTCCTCTTTGTTGACACGTTTCTTTTTAGGTTATGCCATATGTGTTAATTGAATTACGTATCCTTGTTTTATATACAGGGTGACAATTTGAAAACCTACCACCCCTCATATCTTAGTAAATAAACGAGATATTTAAAAAAATCAAAATCCGTTTCGGTAATTCGGAGGGGGAACACAATGACATAGTTGGCGACGCACCCCCTCCAACCCCCTGCGCCCCAGCCACCCCAACTTTTAAATCTTAAATAGTGACCCCCCATGTGTGATACGTCGTTGGAAAGCTCTGAAAAAAATGCTTTCCAACCATACCAAATAGCATTACATTTAGGTTAGTAATTATCGTGCAAATCAAAAAATAAACATGGAAAATCGTATTTAACTTGAACTTCCAAAGCCGACTTGACAGCAACTCATTTTTGATCGCCAGTTATAATCTATTCTAAAACTCTTGTCGAACCTTTTCAAATGTTGGTTTTGCAATATTTCGACATTCTTGAATTATTCTCTGTCTTAGTTCGTCTATGTTCGCCGGTTGCGTTTTAAATACGACAGATTTCAAATGTATCATATTAGTTTATTTTTTGATTTGCACGATAATTACTAACCTAAATGTAATGCTATTTGGTATGGTTGGAAAGCATTTTTTCAGACCTTTCCAACGACGTATCACACATGGGGGGTCACTATTTAAGATTTAAAAGTTGGGGTGGCTGGGGCGCAGGGGGTTGGGGGTGCGTCGCCAACTATGTCATTGTGATTCCCCCTCCGAATTACCGAAACGGATTTTGATTTTTTTAAATATCTCGTTTATTTAATAAGATATGGGGGGTGGTAAGTTTTCAAATTGTCACCCTGTATATATCGTAATCTAACACCCATTTGTTAATAAGGTACGTAAGTTCGAATCGATTTGAATTAGGTTTGATAAAATATATTATTGCTCACACTAATTGCTAAATTTACGAATTTATGCAGTTAGGAACAAGTCGGTAAAATACACTATACTCCTCTTGCGCTGATTTATACTCGCCCTGCGCTGATTTGTGGGCTAATCCCAAACTGTTCTTTAGGAGGAAAATTAAATATTTGTCACAGTTTTGTGCTTGTTATGTGCTGAATTTTGCGTTCGGGCGTAAATTTCATTCGATATCGTTTCGGGTAGAATCAAAATTTATATGGTGTACCTATAGGTGTAGCACGTGGATTTTGTTAAACAATCGCAAGTATTTTAAAAAGCAGAAGACAGACTTTTGGAAAACGCTTAGAGTAAGGTCTTTCTTAATGGAATAACTCCCTTTAACGGGTACTGCTTCACATAAGCGATAAACGCTGGATCGACAACACTTCCGTAAGTGTACTACATGCTACCGCTTAACTCGACTCAAATAGTCACTTTGAAAGACGTATTAGATAAAATTGCTAACTAACTTTCTTCTATAATACCTTTATTACCACCATGACTGAACGTCTTGCAACAAATTACGCTCAACTACCGCTGACTATGATACACCAAAAGCCTCCACCACCAAAAAGTCAAGATTCACTCTTGTCTCTGCTATTTAGAACAATTTCCCTTTCATTTTTCTTTCAGACTTCTTATCAAAATTAGTGCGTTTATCTATAAACTTAAACAGCGATAACGGTCTTATCGCAATGACCGGAGATACAATGAGCCAACATTTCACGCAATTTTTTCTGAACAATATAAATAAACAAATTAAAAGGCGATTATTTAAAAATGATTACGCATCATGAGATAAATAATCTAAATAAAATGAACAATGACTTCAAATTCAAGTGATATGATGCCCATAAGCACATAATCAAATAAAATGTAGATAACATTTCGTAAGAATAAGTGTTCTAAAATTAACTATCATTGAAGCTCTCATCGAGAGTAAATTGTAACAAATATTGGATCAAGTGCAGCAATATCAACAATTACGTCGCGGTTTGTTTCATTTGACAGTGTGATTTTTTTTCCTTTTTTGCTTTCTAATCTTTGAATGAACGTTCCAAAATCCCTATTAATTAAATATGACTAGACGAGATCGACGGTGCGGAATATTACACCAAGAACCAGTTCTAAAAGCAGCGACTGATACGAAATTGAAACTCGATCCAGCTAAGTTATCACCGGTGACGACGAATGAATTTTTTTATTACTTACTGTTATTTCTGCGATTTAGCGCATATATTGTTGTGTAACCTGCAGGGGAGTTTCATCTCTCTAAGTTGAAATAATGCTAACGATGAGAGGTGGCCCTGTATTTAAAAATTTACGTGCTGTAAACGCAATTTAGCCTTAGCATTAGAAGTTTGAGATGGGATGGCCTGTACAATGTTGTAATTTGTTTGTTTAGGACCTAAGGTCAAATGGACACAGAATTTCAGAATTTTATTTAATGGTCAGTGTAATATTTTTTTTTGTATTGTAGTTTGTGAATTTGTATCAGTAATTTAAGGGTTGTTATTGTATTTAATGAGCGTCTGAAATTCAAGGAACGCATAAACAAGAAAATATTTAATTTTAAATCTGACCCTTGTCAGAACAAATGTGTGTGTAAAGGCCATCGGACAAATTAATTGACCAGGTTTGATAACAGGACATCTGCATGATATAAGCGCTACACATATAGGAATTGGCGACGTAATTGGTGCTTCGTTTTTCGTCCGTGCATAACGATGCGGATTAATAGAGTGAAGGTGCGGATTGTTTAAATAAGTGGAGCAAATTAAGAACGGCTGCTCGGGTAATTTTTAAGAGTGCGCTATACGCTGTTTGTTTTCAAGTTGTTTTGATAGATGTAGCGAATCTGGTTATCTGATAAAAATTGAAAGAATGTCGTCGTTCAGTTTATGAAAGTGTTACGTGTTACGAGTTTCTACAAGTACCCGCTCAGACAAATTATAATCACAATTTCGTCGGATAAGTCGTTGCAAGATTTAATAATTAGACGTGTCAAAAAAAATGTTAATTTGTTAAAGCTCCAAGTTTTTGGTGAAACTGTAGTTCCTCAGTAATTGTGTTTCTTTTGACAGAACTTTGAATATTTCTTTGAACAGACTCTAAGTACTCACTTTTTATCTATTGAGATCACTTGAATTCATTTATTCGTTTCGTTTGTCCGTTCTGTGAACGGGTTGTGTGCAAAAAGGCTTTATGTCGCCTTAGCATTTTTATTACAGCCAATATTTAAATGCCCTTCAGGATTACACATTCATGCACCTTAGACTGCCTTAGTCCCTCTCGGAAAGGTTTTTGTGGCCTTATCGGTGATTAAGTTGCTCCTTGACTCATACCTAAAATAAAGGGTACAACAATTTACAACTGAAAAACATGTTTTCTTTAATTTTTTTTTTAGAGCCCAGAACAAGAGAGGTATAATAAATAAATAAATAAATAAATAAATAAATAAATAAATAAATAAATAAATAAATAAATAAATAAATAAATAAATAAATAAATAAATAAATAATAAATAAATAAATAAATAAATAAATAAATAAATAAATAAATAAATAAGTACATAGAAACGCATTACTGAGAAAACTGCTGCAAGCATACATTCGATATGTATTTCTATTAAGCAAATACAATGAAAGGGCAAAGAGGCCCATCTTCGATGCGATGCTGGAGCTAATCTTAGGACACCACGAGTTGGTACCCATGCCAAAAGTGATAAGCGCCTGTCAAAATTCATGTTTCTAACCAGAATTGTACAATGGTCCAGCTAAGCCCCTTGAATAAGTAACTCACCCCGATCTTGTCTTAAGGTGAGGATACTTTAAAAACAAGCACAGTGTCTCTGGCCTAAAATTTACATCGGTAATGAAAATAAAGGTGTCGCTACAGAAATAAGAAAAAAAACATTTTAATATTAAGCCATCCAGGTATTCTGGACTGAATCTTAAATTCATTCCTGTTGTCATGCAAGTAATAAATAATATTATAAATAGCAGGACTGTTATGACAGGGACTGATTGTGTACTTACGCACGAAGGAAATAGATAGAAGTCGGTTACCCTTTGTGGAGAAGTAAATGTATCTTGATATAAACTGTACGTGACGAAATGATATAAACCTATTCACCTTCATATTGCTGCTATCACATTTTATGGGAATACAATTTCACCAGGCTATTCATTGGGGTTGGAGATTGTGTTTGACCTATCGTTCGCCTACATTTATTAGTAATGATAATTGCAGTTGTCAGATTTATCGCGAAGTGAACTGACGGTGATAAGAATTTAAATTTTTTATCCTTTATTCAAGGAG